TATTATTATTATTATTATTATTATTATTATTATTATTATTATTATTACCATATTATTTTCAAGGGCAAAATTCACAGAGATCTGGGTTAAGCTATCTGATTAAAGAATGTACTCATTTTATCTCATTATTTTAGAAGGCTCTCGGCACTTAACCATTTTCTTATGATGAAAGTGATAAAAACATTTAGAAAAGTAAAATTGTCTACATTCAAGCTTAATTTTAACCCAAGGAATGTGTCTATATAATTAAACCTTCAGAACACCAGATTATTTATGTATTTATTTATTATCAAACTTTTATGCCACCAATCTCGCTGAGGTGACTCTAGGCGGCTTACTGTATATGTTATTCAACCTTTTGATAGGCATTTAATACTGAATGATGCTAGCAAGAAGCTACTTACAAGACTGATATGAGCATAGATTAACACCAAGATTATCATCAACAAAATGATAATAATCAAAACCATCATTATTATCATCAAAAGCAAAAGTTTTTAAGAAGAGACTGGGCAACCGTTTGTCTGAAATGGCATAGGGTTTCATGCTTGAGCAGGGGGTTGGGTTAGATGACCTCCCAAGGTCCCTTCCAACTCTGTTATTCTATTATTCTGTTCTGTTGTTCTGTTCTTGAGCACGGCTGTTTTCTTGCCTTTTCGACAGATAACTGATCTACTTGATGTGGTGTTGGACAGTTTTATCAAAACCAGTGCCACAGGAGGACTGGGGTCCATCAAAGCAGAGGTCATGGCAGATACAGCTGTTGCTCTTGCTTCTGGAAACGTGAAGCTGGTTTCCAGCAAAGTAAGCATTCTCCTCTTGAATTTAACTGTAGTTAATCTCTTCACATGTGGATGGAAATCAGTGAATGGTATTTCTTTCTCCTCCTTCACTTGTCCTCTGTCCTTCTTTTGTCAGATAGCAGGAAAAATATTAACCGGATGGTACTAAGCAATGTCCATATCGAAAAATGTTACAATTAGTCCTCAACTTACTATGGTTTGCTTAGTGACCATTCAGGGTTATAACAGCACTGGACAAAAAGTGACTTACAATTGTTTTTCACACTTACAACCGTTGCGGCATCCCCATGGTCATATGATCAAAATTCAGACGCTTTGGCAGCTGACTCATATTTATGATAGTTGCAAAATCCTGGGGTCATATTTTGCGACCTTCTGACAAACAGTCAATTTTAACAGCAGCTAGAATTGCCTGTGCTCAGTGTTGGAAGCACAATTGTATACCATCAGATGAATTGATCATTCAAAAAATAATGGCGTGTGCTGAGATGGATAAGTTATCCCTGATGTTACGAGAGAAAGAGGAGTCTGAATATTATAGAATTTGGGGGAAATGGTATGATTGGATTGAATTAAGACAGATGGGTGATGAAAGAATCAATGATAAGCAACTTATAGATTAAATTTTCATATTCACATAAATTGTATATATTTGTACATAAGCACAAAATAGAAGTATATGAGATAGATGTCACACATTGTTAATGTCATAATATTTACATTTTTTGTTTGGTTTTTAAAAATATAAAAGACTAATAAAGTTTATTTTAAAAAACCATAGTCAATGAGGAAGCCATTCACTTAACAACGATGTTACTAACTTAGCAACTGCAGTGATTCACTTAACAACTGTGGCAAGAAATGTTGTAAAATGGGGCAAAACTCACTTAACAATTGTCTCGCTTAGCAACATAAATTTTGGGCTCAATAGTGGTCGTAAGTCAAGGACTACCTTTATAATACAGCAAAAATAATATGAGCCTGCTGGTCAGTGCACTGTAGCCAGGTAGTTACTGTTATATAATTCTGGGAAGCTCAGAAGCACAGCTTTAAGGCGTTAGTAAAAGTATTCAATTTCAATATTGTCGATCACATTCACTGGATTTTTTTTTATCTGGTTACCCTTCTCCACAAGAACAGCTTCAAAGAAATATATTGTTCTCTGTAAACTGAAACTGGATTTCCAGGCTGTTGATGTGGTAGCTCTTGAAATACTGTTTCGTTGGCCCTTCAGCCAGTCACAATACAGTAATATCTATGTTCTTCGCAAACTTTTCCAAACAGCTTATTTGATTGATTGTTCATTTTAATTTCCCATTTCTAAAGCTACATAGCCTCTTGACCACTCTGGGTAGCACACAAGTTTAACAGGGATGAAATAGGACAGCAAGTGACAGGATTACAGTAAGTCCTCAACCTGTGACTGGTTACTTGGCAACTGTTCGAAGTTATGACTGACCCAAAAAGGGGGACTTACACCCTGGATTCGAACTTCAGTCAGGCCCCCTCTGCAGTCATATGACAGAACTCTGGGCATTCAGCCATAGAACCGTTTGCAACATCTGGTGCTCATGTGGCTGCATTTTGTGACGGTTTTGCCTAAAATGGGCACTTCCGATTTTTGTCAAAACTATGCCTCATAGCAAACCATTGGTTTGCTTAATGGCTGGATTCGCTTGACTGGGGTGATTCCTGGGGGCTGGGGGGAGAGAATCACAGCGATTCGCTTGAGAACCACCACAAAAATGGTGGTAAAGTTAGGTCAGTCACATGACCATTATGACATGCAATCATAATGGGCAGGGTCCATTGCAGTCATAGGTCAAGGACATACGATCTTCCTAAAGTTCTGAGCTCTTTGTTTGACCAATATAGATAGGATTTAATATATGGGGAAAAGAATTTGTTCTTTGGTGGGAAAATCTTGTTCTGTTCCTCATTACATACATTCATTCATTCATTCATTCATACATACATACATACATACATACATACATGTGTGTGTTTGTGTGTATGTTTTTGTATGTATGTATGTATGTATATATAGGGACGTAGTGGCTCAGTGGCTAAGACGCTGAGCTTGTCAATCAATAAGGTTGGCAGTTTGGCGGTTCGAATCCCTAGCACCGCGTAAGAGTGAGCTCCCATTCAGCTTCTGCCAACCTATCAGTTCAAAAGGTTGCAAAAATGCAAGTAGAAAAATAGGGACCATTTTAGTGGGAAGGTAACAGTGTTCTGTGTGCCTTTGGCGTTTAGTCATGCCGGCCACATGACCACGGAGACACCTTCGGACAGCGCTGGCTCTTCGGCTTTGTAACGGAGATGAGCACCGCCCCCTAGAGCCGGAAATGACGAGCATGTGCGAGGGGAACCTTTATTTTTATTTATTTATATATGTGTGTGTGTGTGTGTAATGAGGAACAGATCAAGATTTTCCCACTGAGAACAAACTCTTTTTCCCATATATTAAATCCTATACATATATATATTTATAAAGCTTACAATTGAAGCCCAAAGGCTTCCTGGAAGAAGCGAGTATTGGGAGATGGCTCAAAGGAATGAGAAGTGGTACTTAATAGGTTTTGTAGGATTTTATTATGTCCATATTAATAATGAGAAAGAAAACCAGCCCTCAAGATAACTTGAGAGTCCTTATCAAAATGCACCAAAATTTCTGTGATGCTTTCTCCCCTGCGAAGGCCTAGATTAATTCTTCCACCTCATTTCTTCCTTGATTAGAGATGGTCACATAGGATCCTGGTGTTCCTAAAGTCAGCTTTTTGTTCTGGTGTCTACTCTAAAGCACACACCTTCTAACTCCACATGACTGGTTGTTCCCTTCCAGGTTATTGGACGGATGTGCAAGATAATCGACAAGACCTGTCTCTCTCCAACAGCTACGTTAGAGCAGCACCTCATGTGGGATGACATTGCCATTCTAGCCCGTTACATGCTGATGCTGTCTTTTAACAATTCCCTCGATGTGGCCACACATCTCCCCTACCTCTTCCACGTTGTTACTCTGTTGGTGGCCACCGGTCCTCTTTCTCTCAGAGCTTCCACCCACGGCCTGGTCATCAACATCATTCATTCTCTGTGCACATGTTCACAACTTCACTTTAGTGGTAAGTCTTTATTTATATTTATTTTTAAACCTAAGACCCATCTCCTTTTGTCTAATGCAGGGGTCCCCAAAATTGGCAACTTTAAAACTGGTGGACTTCAACTCCCAGAATTCCTCAGCCAGCATAGCTAGTTTGGAGACCTCTGGTCTAATGAGACTCAAGGTAGATTTCAGTGGTTAGCACACTTCCCCATATCTCTGTGGGAAGGTGCATTCCCAGAATCATTCCTCAATTCTGGACCTTTTAGATTATTAATTTAAGTAACAAAAGGAATCTTGCTTTGGACAAGAAGCTCAGCTTTCCTCAGTTTGATGGCTTCTTCGTGTGTTAAGAGACCTGAAAATTGAAATTTTAATACCTAATACTAATCTTTAGAAGGGTAACCCAGATTAGCAGTGCCTCATTGCACAACTCTGATGGTCCATTGCTCCCTTTTGGTTCATTTTCTTCCTTGTTTCATTTCTCTTTGTTGGCCACAATGACTGCCAGAGCCCCAACCATTGACCTGGGTGGAATATAACTCATCCACTTGTCATATAGTATAACTCATCCAGTTGTCATCCTAGTATGATTTGATTGTTGATTGTACCCTATGACTATCATTAAGTGTTGTACGTTATGATTCTTGATTATTAACGAATGTACCTTTTCTTTATACTGAGAGTATTTACACCAAGACCAATTCCTTGTGTGTCCAATCACTCTTGGCCAATAAAGAATTCTATTCTATTCTATTCTATTCTATTCTATTCTATTCTATTCTATTCTATTCTATTCTATTCTATACATGTATGGATGTGCCCACCAAGCCATGATGGCTTGTTCAAGAAATCACCAATTTATGCTACTTTATCATAATCTAGGAATGGAGCATGCCAGTTGAATCCCAATAAAATTAATTGTACAGGTAGTCCTTGATTTAAATTTGTTTAGTGACCATTCAAAGGTACAATGGCACAGGAAAAGTAACTTATGACCATTTTCACACTTACGACCTTTGCAGCATCCCCAGCATCATGTGATCAAAATTCAGATGCTTGGCAACTGGTTCATATTTATGAACATGGCTGTGTCCCAAGGTCCTGTGGTCCCCTATTGCGACCTTCTGACAAGCAAAATCAATGGGGAAGCCAGTTTCACTTAACAGTTGGGTTACTAACGTAAGAGCTGCAGTGATTCACTTAACAACTGTGGCAGGAAAGGTCATAAAATGGGGCAAAACTCATTTAACAAATGTGTCACCGAGCAGCAAACATTTTGGGTTCAATTGTGGTCGTAGGTCGTAAGTACCTGTATTTAGTTCCAGTTCAAATCAAGCGGAGTTAAAGCATAGTTTACTGCTTTGGGTGTGAAGCGGGTTCAGCTGATTTAGTCTGTATCCAGTCTATCTTTCTGGTGTGTGTGAGTTTGTCGGCATGTATAATATTAAAATAACAAGAGAACTAATGGGGTAACCTTGTGCTTAGCAGTTTATTTTCTTTCAAATGGGTCTGATGCTAATATGAGAAAGGCGAGGATAACTTTTATGGTGTCACAAGCTGCTGGGGTGCCTGGCTGTGTTCACTGGATGGGATGAACCCATATAGACCCTCCAGTGCTCAAAAACCACAAATAGTTCAGTTTTGAATCATTACTAAGCTACCATCCCCTAGTGGCAGATTGTGGGTTGATAGTTTTACAATAGGAAAATATTAATTTAGGCTATCCTGGGCCAAGAAATTTCAAGGGGGTTATAACGTAATAAAATAAAAAAAGGTAAAACGCTCCTTTAAAATTTCAGATAATTAATAGTACTGATAGGAGAGAAAAGCTTTTAGCTCGGATTGGAAATGAGGGGTCCTGGGCTCTCTCTGAGTTTGGTTGTTTCCTTGCAGACATTTCATTGCCCAATTAGGTGACCTCTTCAGTGCTGATGACGTTACCTAGTTTGGGCAATGCAACGTCTGCAAGAAAACAACCAGACTCAGAGAGCACCAGCATGAATAGTGAAAAGAGCACTAGGGACATAATGATACTGAAGCTAAAACTCAGACAATAAGTTAATTCTATCCTCACTTTAGCCCTGCTTAAAATAAAGTGAAGACATCAAAAGAACCACAAATTAAACTGGGAGTCCTTATTAGCCACTGAGCCAGAAGGTATAACTTCTTACACGTGAGAAGAGGATGTTACATGTCACAGATGTCTTTTTAAATTCATCAGTCATGATTTAAGATCCAGTGCCTCTAGTGATCTTGCCACAAATCATTTCCAACCAAGCTTTTATCATTTCATTGTATGAAGAGAGCTATGGAATCCTTCGCCTCATATTTTCTGGTGATTCCAGCCTCCTTATAACTTACCCGTAATGTTTAAATATTCAAGTCTCATGTTTAGATGCAGGTGATATATATGTATATATTTTGTTCTTTTCAGTAAGCGACATTTTAATGGGATCTTTAAAGTCCCTGAACAAGCTCTTAAAGAGTACAGGATCGATCCAGGCTCAACTCTACAAATTAGCACTGTCAAGTACAATTTAGAGCCTGCCATGGCTTTAAATTAGGAACACATGTAACATTCGCAACATTTAAAAGTAGAATGGTAGACAAGGGCTTGTGCCTGTGGTTAAGTAACAGTACAGTGCTGCAGAGATCAGTAGTGGAGAAAATGTGAAGCAATTAAGCAATTTTTAATCTCATTTTGTGGAAGAGCAACATAAGCATTATTTAGCATAGGGAAAATATTACATCACATTGAGATAGATGCACAAGGGCACCATATGTCCCTTGTGCAGCCTTTTGTTAACTTGACATTTCACTGTTGAAATTGCTGCTAACTGATACAACAGTGGTAGGACTTATCTCCGGGGGGGATGAGTCTGCCTACCGAGATGAGGTGGACCGGTTGTTTTCGTGGTGTGGAGACAACAACTTGGTCCTCAACACCAATAAGACCAAGGAGCTTATAGTAGACTATAGAAGGAACAGATCAGACATCCAGCCCTTGCTTATCAATGGAGACCAAGTGGAGCAAGTGGCCAGTTTTAAGTTTCTGGGTGTTACCCTAAAAGAGGACCTGACCTGGGGTGCCCACATTGCAACCCTGGTCAAAAGGGCCCAGCAAAAATTATACTACCTGAGACTTATCAGAAAACAACAACTGAATGAAAAACTGCTGGTGACCTTCTACCACTGCACCATAGAAAGCATTTTAACATACTGCACCTCTGTAAGGTTTGCCAATTGCACAGTGGCAGATAGGAAAGCACTCCAGAGGGTTAATGTCATTGCCCAGAAGATCATTGGTTGCCCTCTCCCCACTTTGGAAGAGCTTCATAGCTCCCGCTGCCTTAAGAACGTTCAAAACATTCTCAAAGATCCATCTCATCCTGGGCACCCTTATTTTGAACTATTACCACCTGGCAAACGGTACAGAATAATAAAAACAAGAACAAATAGGCTGAAAAACAGCTTCTATCCCAGGGCAGTAGCTCTTTTGAATTCTGCTGTATAGTGCAGTGTTGGTGCGGTGTCAGGGGTTTCCGATTCAATGTGTGAAGGGTGAAGGATGTGTGTTTGTGTTTATTTTCATGGTCATGGTCATGATGTGCACTGAAGATGGTGTTTGATTTCGTTGTACGAGGTGCAATGACAATAAAATAAACTAAAATGTCCCTTATGCAGCCTTTTGTTAACCTGACATTTCACTGTTGAAATTGGGTGATGAAATTACCAGGGAACTATGTTTTAGCCTATCAAAGAGAAGGATTAGGAAGAGACATGATACCTTCAAGGGCTGTCACAGAGAAGAGGGCGCGATTTATCTTCGAAAGTACCCGCGGGCAGGTCAAGAAGCAACAGGTGGAAGCTCCTCAGAGGGAGAATCCAACCTGGAAATAAAGAGAAATTTCCCGACAACAAAAACGATTAATCAGTAGAACAGCTTGTCTCAGAGTTGTGGGTGCTCCATCACTGGAGGATTTCAAGAAGAGATTGGATAATCATTTGTCTGGGATGGTAAAAGGACTCCTGCCTTGGAGTTTACTTCCAGTTTCTGGCAAGAAAACACCAACACCCCCCCCCCCCGCCTCATTGGGTACAATGAGTTCACTTAACAACCATTTCATTTGCTTAATGACTTGCAAATAAGGTCATAGAATTGTGTGGTGACCTGCTTAATGACCATCACAATTTAGGACTGCAATTGCAGGCTCAGTTACTGTCGTAGAGAGATAGGAATATTTGTTTATTAAATAGATTTATATGGCCACACAACTCACACCGCGACTCCTGGTGGCACACCTTTTCCATGCCAACAAATGGGATGTGGTCATCCAGAACTGATTGTGGACCAAACTGAACCACATACCGAACCAAAGATTGGCACATTTTAGACAGCATATTAAGTGAACCCAGCAAACAGGAAAAAAATGGATTAGAAGTAAATATCCAGAAAACTATGATTAATCATTAACGTGTCATGTGAACACACGTTTATTGAATATAAAAGCAGGAAGACAATAGGGTGTAGGGCAGGTGGCCGTCAGTCTTTAGTGTAACGGGATCTGTTACAAGCCTCTGCGACACTTATGACAAGGTTGCTTAGCCTTCCTTGCCCCTCAGTCCTACCCTTTTATCTCTGTAGAAGGAAATTAAATTTTGAAAGATGAAATAAAATAATAACTCGGAAAGTTTTTATAATATATTTCCTATACAGGTAGCCAGCATAGCTGGGGTGGGGTTTTTTTTGCTAACCCCTCATATTTTTTTTACTTCTAAGATTTGATGCCCAGTTAATTACCTAATAATGGCCCAGTTTCTAATGATTTTAATAAAGTGCAGCCTCTGAAATTTCCCCAAAGTTACCCAGTCCACCTTTAGAAGTTAAGTCTCTCAAAGAGCTAGACAGCATTTCTTGAGAAGTAGGTAACATTTCCAAACAGGAGATTGTGGAAATATAATTAGAACATATAACGAAATTACGAAAGCAGTGCAGATGATTGCTTTCATAATAAAGGTGTAGTCCCCTTCAGAATTGAAATAACAGAGTGCTTTTATTTCTTTAAAGATTATGTGCTATAGGTTAAATATATATACAGATAGTTCTCAATTTACAACAGTGCATTTAGTTACCATTCAAAGTTACAATGGCACTGGAAAAAAAGGACTTGTGACCATTTTTCAAACTTACCGTTGTAGCATCCCTGTGGTCACATGATCAAAATTCAGACACTTGACATCTGACTCATATTTATGACAACTGCAGTGTCCTGGGGTCATGTGATCACCTTTTGTGACCTTCTGACCAAGCAAAGTCAGTGGGGAAGCCAGGTTCACTTAACAACCTTGTTACTAACTTAACAAATGCAGCCATTTACTTAGCAATTGTGGCAAGAAAGGTTGTAAAATGGGGAGAAATTCCCTTAACAAATGTTGCGCTTAACTACAGAACTTCTGGGCTCAATTGTGGTCGTAAATCAAGGACTACCTGTATGTTCTTCTCCTACACAAACACACACACACACACACATACACACAGAGTTCTTTTAAGTGAAATAATACAGAATAACTGGGAAAATAATTTGGAAAATATGTTGAACAAGACAATACCTTGAATATCTTCTGTGTGTGGCCCAAGGAGTAAAGTATATGCATATTACACATTTTTTTAAGCTCCACTGGAGCTTCCTCTGACGGCAGTGCTGGATTTCATATTAAATTTAACATGTTAGTTATAGGAATGTTAGCTTCCCTACAACTGAACGTGTAGAAATCTTCTTAAAGCTATAGTTGAAAAATGAAATCTCCATGTTACCCAAATCCATGCATCTAATGATACAGAGGAATATTCCACCTGTTCAGATTTGATTCCTGAGAAGTAACACACTCATTTTAGTATGCCTAGAAAATATAAACATGCCTTGTGTTCGTGTGACTCAGATTACCAAATCGTTCACAATGTCAAAAGGCCTTTTGTTTCATTATGTCATTCAATATGTCAAAATTCCTCTTGCAGAAACGAGGAAGCATCCCTGGCTTTCAAACAGAAGTTTCTGAAACAAAATGTATTTGCCACTGATTTCAAATCCATAGAAGTGTAGGGTCCTTGTTGCAATCATATATTGATTAATTGCACTGTGTTTCATAATTTTCCCAACGTCTTGAAGGCAGAAGCAGTTTAGGTTAAGAGAGTGATTTAAAGTTGATCAATAAAAAATAGACCAATAAAGGCAAGAATCACCAAATGTCTACTTAGTGCAAGGTACCATGAATAGGCCAAAACAGTTTCTTTATTATTGATCACCTATTTACAAGGATCATGCCAGACTAACTGCATTCTCTTGAGAACCGGCAGATAAAGACTTCAAGAGTCTGGCTCCTGCTGCCCTCTGCCACGGAGAGATTCCAAACTAGATCCCTTCTTTACTCCCCCTCTATTCTACCCCCTCAATTCTAGCCAGTGATTCTACTACAGTATGTGTCAAAAGCCAGGATGGCCAAATGTGCTTCTTAGCCCCTATTTTTGTCCCTGGAGCCTTTCCCCCAATCACAGTTGATTTCCCCCATTGCTTTGAAGAAGGACTGTCAACAACAAAATAAGGAAAGCCATCAAGGGTGGGATTTAGCTGCAAAGTAGCCTAAAAGACATGAAAAAAGTCTGGTTTTCAGCCTGAACGTGGAACCAAGACAGCATTGGTTGCTCGAAGTGAGAATCTTCCTTAGGACCTAGAAGAGAGTAGAACACACTTCCTCATCCTTTGGGGACCTTTCCTTGGCCTTCAGAGCTATTGATTACCCACAAGAGTTAGGGGATGAGGTGCTTACAGTGGGTTCTATGCCTTCCTCGATGGATAACTTCAGTTTTGGAAGAAGGATACAGATCAAGCCAGTGATGGCTGTCATGTGGAGGCCCACAGAGGTCATCTTTTCCCCACTGCTAAGAGTTCCTCCAGAAGTTGGGGGAGAGGTATCTTCAATGTGCTGATGGCGCTCAGCATTATATATGATGTTCAGTGTTATATACTTATACCTCATGTGCAGTATCCCCATTCACCTGAGGAGGTACATATTTGACATAATAAAAAGAGGCATTCATCTCTTTACAACCGGTGAACTTTGCTTCTCCACAGCTCCTCTGCCACTGGTGGTACCGAGTGTGGTCATGCAAACTTTACAACTTGCTTGTGCATTGTGGGCTTGCATGTCTGAATGATGGAGTGGCTGGTGGGTGACTCCCAAAGCCAACAGAACAATGTCTATATATAAAGTCTAAAAACATTGGATTAATTTTCATAAATAGACATTAATGTAAGCTAGTTCCCAGACACTTGTGTTAGCATTTCAATTTCCATTTTTTATTAGTTTGTGACATAAAATACAAATATACAAAAGCAAATAGTAGGAGGGAAAGGGGAGGAAAAGGGAAGGGAGAAATATAGAAGAGAAAGGAAAAAAGAAAAAAAAAGGCATTGACTTCAGATTCCCTTTGGTGCAGTAGAATAAGACAGTAACATCAAATCTCAACTTTTTACTTTTACACAATAGTCTAAATTAGCGATTCCTATATTTCTAAAGTTTTATTTTTTTTCCATCCCAAGCACAAAGTTCAGAACTGGTTTCCAAGTAGAAAGAAACGTACTTGTGTTTTTTTCTTTGATCAAAGCAGTCAATTTGGCTATCTCTGCTAACTCCATCCACTTTTGCAGCCATTCATCCATTGTGGAGATTGAAGCATTTCAATTTTCAAAGGTGGAACTGACATCAAAGTCTTTAATGTCTGTTCCTTTTTTTTTTTTTGTCAACAGAGGAAACGAAGCAGGTTTTGAGGCTGAGTTTAACGGAGTTCTCACTACCCAAATTCTACTTGCTGTTTGGAATTAGCAAAGTGAAATCGGCAGCAGTCATTGCATTCCGATCCAGCTATCGGGACCGGTCATTCTCTCCTGGTTCCTATGAGAGAGAAACGTTTGCACTGACATCTCTGGAAACAGTCACAGAAGCATTGCTGGAAATTATGGAGGTATGACAAGGACATCACGATATGAGTGTACAAGCATGAGTAAGATATTAGGGTTGCAAAATATGTCATTTGTAGATAATTCAAGTATGAGCACTTTAGTACATTGATTATGGCAAGGGCATATTTTACACAGCAGAGATTAGGGTTAAGATACATTGACAAGTTTTAAGATGGGTTTTAGTCTGATGTATGATGTTTTTATGATAGGAAATAAAAAAGAAAATATTAAATTAATCTGATTGAGAATTTGTGCTTACAATCTTTATAGCAGAATAAAGTGGTGGAATGGATTTTACACATCAAGAAATGGATAATATTTTTAAGATTTTAAACAAATGCCTTGCAAGTAAAACAAATATACAAAAAGAAAAAGGATTTAGCCCAGTCTGTTTCCTGATACATATGCTGAATGTACGCTGCTCAAAAAAATAAAGGGAACACTTAAACAACACAATGTAACTCCAAATCAATCACACTTCTGTGAAATCAAACTGTCCACTTAGGTAGCAACACACATTGACAATCAATTTCACATGTTGTGCAAATGGAATAGACAACAGGTGGAAAGCATAGGCAGTTAGCAACACATCCCCAATAAAGGAATGGTTCTGCAGGTGGTGACCACAGACCACTTCTCAGTTCCTATGCTTTCTGGCTGATGGTTTAGTCACTTTTGAATGCTGGTGGTGCTTTCGCTCTAGTGGTAGCATGAAATGGAGTCTACAACCCACACAAGCAGCTCATCCAGGATGGCACATCAATGTGAGGTGTGGCAAGAAGGTTTGCAGTGTCTGTCAGCGTAGTGTCCAGAGCATGGAGGCACTACCAGGAGACAGGCCAGTTCATCAGGAGACGTGGAGGAGGCCGTAGGAAGGCAACAACCCAGCATCAGGACCGCTACCTCCGCCTTTGTGCAAGGAGGGACAGGAGTTGCACTGCCAGAGCCCTGCAAAATGACCTCCAGTGGGCCACAAATGTGCATGAGGCTGCTCAAATGGTCAGAAACAGACTCCATGAGGGTGGTATGAGGGCCTGACGTCCACAGGTGGGGGTTGTGCTTACAGCCCAACACCGTGCAGGACATTTGGCATTTGCTAGAGAACACCAAGATTGGCAAATTTGCCACTGGGGCCCTGTGCTCTTCACAGATGGAAGCAGGTTCACACTGAGCACATGTGACAGATGTGACAGGGTCTGGAGATGCCATGGAGAACGTTCTGCTGCCTGCAACATCCTCCAGCATGACCGGTTTGGCAGTGGGTCAGTAATGGTGTGGGGTGGCATTTCTTTAGGGGGCTGCCCAGCCCTCCATGTGCTCGCCAGAGGTAGCCTGACTGCCATTAGGTACCGAGATGAGATCCTCAGACCCCTTGTGAGACCATATGCTGGTGTGGTTGGCCCTGGGTTCCTCCTAATACACGACAATGCTAGACCTCATGTGGCTGGAGTGTGTCAGCAGTTCCTGCAAGACGAAGGCATTGATGCTATGGACTGGCCCGCCCGTTCCCCAGACCTGAACCCAATTGAGCACATCTGGGACATCATGTCTCACTCCATCCACCAACGCCATGTTGCACCACAGACTGTCCAGAAGTTGGGGGATGCTTTAGTCCAGGTGTGGGAGGAGATCCCTCAGGAGACCATCCGCCACCTCATCAGGAGCATGCCCAGGCGTTGTAGGGAGGTCATACAGGCACATGGAGGCCACACACACTACTGAGCCTCATTTTGACGTGTTTTAAGGACATTACATCAAAGTTGGATCGGCCTGTAGTGTTTTTTTCCTCTTTAATTTTAAGTGTAACTCCAAATCCATACCTCCCTGGGTTGCTAAATTTGATTTCCATTGATAATTTTTGTGTGATTTTGTTGTCAGCACATTCAACTATGTAATGAACAACGTATTTAATAAGAATATTTCATTCATTCAGATCTAGAATGTCTTATTTTTGTGTTCCCTTTATTTTTTTGAGCAGTGTATAAACGTGGATTAGGTTGTTGTTTTCATGTAGTAGAACATTCAAAAATGAGCCTTTCCCACACTTAATGCAGTGTGTTCTATTTTTCTATCTTAAAATTCAACTGTCATTTCCTCTTGCTGAAATAGATGGCTATTATGTATGCATGGCTAAGTAAAAGTTGTGTGTGTGTGTGTGTGTATGAGAAATAGAGAAAGAGAGTGGGAGGAAATCTATAAATTATTTTCTATCTCTGGCGGTCAGAGAATAGACACAACTTAAGTATGTACTGCATCTACACAGTGAGTACGTATCGATAGTCCTCAGCTTAGCAATAGCACTTAGACTTATATACCACTTCACAGTGCTTTACAGCTCTCTCTCTAAGTGGTTTACAGAGTCGGCCTATTGCCCCCAAAAATCTGGGTCCTCATTTGGCTGACCATGGAAGGCTGAGTCACCTGGTGAGATTTGAACAGCCAAACTGCTGGCAATCGGCAGCCAACAGAAGTAGCCTGCAGTACTGCATTCTAACCACTGCACCACCATGGCTCACTAGAACAACAATTGAGGGATCCTTGGTGCTCTCTGATAAACAAACAATTCAGCAATTAGGTCATAAGTTGTTGCAGTCATTAAGTGAGTTGCTCAGGTGATCATCTGGCTCAACAACTGCAATCTCAGCTCTCCCCATTGCAATCATTCAGTGATTGCAGAAGTGGGTCAGGCAGCTCCCCACCATGTGCCGAAGGCAACTGCAGTGCTGGACTGGAGAGAAGAAGTTCAGATCTTCAAGGTCCAAGTTTCTCTTCTCCAGCCGAGCGCTGAAGTTCCCCTCCCTTCCATGGCAGTAAAGAACATTGACCAGAAATCCATGCAGGATGGAATATTTCCATCATTGGGTGTTTGGGCCAGTCACTAGAAACAGGAGGAAGTTCTCTCATTTCTGGGGACTGGCTGCAAACGCCCTGTGCTGCAGACATTTTGTTCTGAAATATTTCGGGAGGTATTTTTTTTTCCACCCAGTCTCCTTGGGGAAGGCAGCGCAGTGGCTAAGCAGTTAAGATGCTGGGCTTATCGGCTGGAAAGCCAACAGTCCAGGTTCGAGACCTGAGCGTTGCGCAACGGGGTGAGCTCCCATCCTCACCTTAGCTCCTACTCAACTAGCAGTTTGAAAACATGCAAATGCAAGTAGATAAATAGGTACCACTTCAGTGGGAAGGTAAACAATGCTCTGCAACATCACGCTGGCCATGTGACCATGGAAACATCTTTAGACAGTGCTATCTCAATGGCCCTTGAAACGGGGATGAGCGCTATCTCTTGTAGTCAACAATGGCTAGCAGAGTAAAATCTGCAGGGACTCCCTCCTTGAGAGCACAAACACTTGCAGAATACCTGTCAGGCCGTGCTTTTGGTCTCATAGAGGCTGGGTGTGAAAAAGCCTCTCCTGAAATTCCTTCCACTTTCAGTCACCACCACCTCAAGACCCAGAGGGAGCCCTCTAGCCACCTCTGGGGAAGCCAGCAGGGAAAATGGCACATGTGAGATCACATATGATCGCAGGGCTCTTGGCAAACCACCATAAGTGGAAACAGGTTGCCCAATGCCCAAATTGGAATCGCAAAACCGATGGGAGGTGGGGTGCTGTAACAGTTGTAACTTTGGGCACAGGTCATAAGTCCCTCCGATGCGATTGTAATTTTGAACGATCTCCGAATGAATGGACATTAAGTGAGGACTGTTTCCATTGTTTAAGGCTGCCAGCAGAGAAAAATAAAGAGAAAATGGGTGTTATTTTTCAGTTCCCGGAGCATGTAAAAATACAAAACCACAATTGTCCCTGTTCCAGAAATGCTCACTTTTGGTTGAGTAAATGCTTTAATATGACATAATCAGATAAACTGACCTTTTGATTTTCCTGCAGGCGTGCATGAGAGATATCCCAACCTGCAAATGGCTTGACCAGTGGACGGAACTAGCTCAGAAGTAAGTCATGTTGCCTTCAGACTTTGCCTGGGTCACTTTGTTACTTTCTATTTCTGTTTGAGGCATTTTCATCGGTGGTGTTGACCGGCTTTCTTCCTTGACAGGTTTGCATTCCAGTATAATCCATCCCTCCAGCCACGAGCCCTTGTGGTGTTCGGTTGCATTAGCAAACGGGTGTCACACGGACAGATAAAGCAGATCATCCGGATTCTGAGCAAGGTGTGTCTTTCAGTTTTGACTTTCCAGAACTTTCTCTCTCTCTTTCTTTTTTTTTTCTTCCTCTTGCATTTGCATACAGGTAGTCCTTGACTTATGATCACAGTTGGGACCAGAACTTCCATTACTATGCAACACAGTTAAGTGAGTCATGCCCAATTTTATGAGGTTTTTTTTTTTTTGGCCACTGTTAAACAGGTCGTTGTACTAGTTAAGTGAATCATGTGGTTGTTAAATGAATCCAACTGTCAGTGTTCCAGAAAACCTCAACTACAATCAATAACTCTGAGGCAGACATCTTTTTAAAGGTTCCTTTTATTAGAGTAGTAAAGTGGCACATCTGGGAATATGAAAGTTCCGGGTTTCCCTCCAATACGTAAAAAATTACAAATCCACCCCCTGCACCCATCATTCCATCACATGCCCCAACCACCATCTGTCCCAACTTGAGACATTCCCTCAACCATTCCTCAGCCAGGTGCAGAAATAACATGACCTTGATTTTAAAGAAGAATGCTATTATGTCTAACCACATACGCTCCAGGAAATTCCCCCCTCCCATTTTCCCAGGCTCAAGAATGCAGCAGCGTAGAAGCTTCTGGTGCTAATACGGCTTCCAAAGTTGACACCGACTTCCCCCCATTGACTTTGCTTGGCAAAAGCCGGATTGGAAAGTTGCAAATGGCGGCCACATGACCTCTATGTGCTATAACCATCCTAAATACGTGCCAGTTACCAAGCACCCCAATTTTGATTATGTGACTAGGGGATGCAGCAACAGTCATAAGCGCAAGGACTGATTGTAAGTCATTTTTTTCAGTGTCATTATAACTTTGAATGGTCACTAAACGAATGCTTCTGTACTGAATTTTACACTGAGTGGAACAACTGTTTCTCTTTTCTTTATGCTGCAGAGAACCAGAAATTTTAGTAGGCTGTATTGTAGAAAATTAAACCGCAATACCACCATAAAATGTCTGGTTTTTATAACATGCAAAGCTGTACTGGGCCAAAAGCCTTTCTCTCCTATCCCTTAAATTCAGTTCAGTTCAGAATAGAGCTGGAAGGGACCTTGGAGGTCTTCTAGTCTAGCCCCCTGCTCAAGCAGGAGACCCTATACCATTTCAGACAAGTGACTGTCCAGTCTCTTCTTAAAAACCTCCAGTGATATGAAGCATCCACAACTTCTGGAGGCAAGCTGTTCCACTGGTTAATTGTCCTATTAGGAAATTTCTCCTTAGTTCCAGGTTGCTTCTCTCCTTGATTAGTTTCCATCCATTGTTGGACAGTCCCTTGAAGGCCAAAGGATTGAGAAATTATTGTACATCTAGATCCAGTCCTCAAGGCAATGTCAGTGCAGTACGGTAAATACACCAGGGTGAAGTTAAAGCAAACCTTTGGGGACAGGCAGTTTTAGGAAGTGTCCCCCACAGTCACCTTGGCCTTTTGCTACTCAAATAATAAAGGGCTAGTGAGAAAAGTAAGGAATTATCAGGTCTATCATAGAGAAGGCTGGTTTCCTGCAACTCTGCCTTTTCCTCCAATCATTGAGGCTGCCTCTTGTGCAGGTAATCACAGTTCATTTAATGACTGTCCGAAGTTATGACGACACTTGAAAAAAAAACTTCTGACCGTTTTTCATACTTACATCAATTCAGGGTCTCCATGATGATGTGATCAAAATTTGGACGCTTGGCAACTGACTCGTATTTATGATGGCTGCAGTGTCCCAGGGTCATATGATCACCTTTTGTGACCTTTCTGACAACCAAAGACAATGTCGAAGCCAGATTCGCTAAATGACCCCTGCAAGAATGATCGTAAAATGGGGCAAAACTCACTTATCAAATGTCTCACTGAGCAACAAAAATTTTGGGCTCAATTGTGGTCATAAGTTGAGGACTACCTGTATAGCATCACATGAAACTGTTTGGGGCCCACAAATGCCAATTACGTAATCAGATCAACTCACAGTTGGAAGTAAAACCTAATGAGCTTTTAATAAATATCCAGTGCTAGTCATCTTTGATACCATGTACTGAATCTCATTTCACACATGCTGCATGCACACACAGAGAGACCATTAGATACTAAAATACTTGATCTTTTCCTCGTTTTATGTGGGGGGAGAGAGAGGGATTGTTTTTTTCTAATTGTGTTTTATATGGATCCACTCGTAATGTTTTTCATTCCCTGAGCTAATGCTACAGCTGTACACAAGTGGGAATGTGCTAGCCAGGAATTGGTAGAACAGATCAACTAAAAAAGAGGATGAAGTTTCCTTATCATGGGATTGGAGCTTTTGGTTAACTAGGAAGAAATGTGTCATGGAGAAGAATCAAGGCAGAAGTGAAGTGCAAGTAATTTTTTAAAAAAATCAGCACAGAAGGAGATAAAAGCCGAGGCTAGAGAACGCAGAAAGTGAAACATCTATAGTTTTAATGGCTCAGTTCCAGGAAAAGCAAGGCAGAACAAAATGACTCCTTTTATCAGAGGCATTCTGGATTGACTGAGGCACGAGGAAACAAGAAAGGAGAACCCATATCTGCAGGGATTAAAAATCAGTGTAAATAAGCTGATATTACTTTGATATTTTTTTTTAAACCAATGACAGGGCTTGGAGAGCTGCTTGAAAGGGCCAGACAACTACAACAGCCAAGTTCTGATAGAGGCCACCGTCATAGCCCTGACTAAGCTCCAGCCACTCCTTAATAAGGTAAACTGGTAGGGTCTCCAGCAGGTCGTTCTGTGTGACTCACTGGGCAGAAAAAGTGGGTGTTAGAATGTTCCAGGTGAGGGGATGTTTGGAAACCGATGCTTGCATTTTTTTTTTAACCTGTTTAACCTGTTTTAACCTGCTCACTAGCAAATCTTGAAAATCTTTGCAATGATCTATTAGATTACTGGAGATCCTGAAGGATTGGAGGTATCGTTTTGGTGTGTCTGTTCCCCCCTCCTTCCCTTCAGCCTCTTGATCGCTTCCTGGTTCTCAGCAAATTCGGTCCAAACCACAGTTTCCAATTCTGTTTAGAGTCAGGAGTAATTTGCTTTCATTGACCTGTGATTGATTTGGCCATATTCAGAGAAAGAAGTGGGAGGGGAAGAAGGGAGGTTTGTCCCAAAGATGTTTTATTTTCTACTGGACTTTCTTGGTTTGTATCTTTGAAAACATTTAGCTTTTCATCCAAGAAGCAGGGGTGGGATCCGACTGGCGTAACAACCGGTTCGGGGAGTGTGCGCATGTGCATCAAACGTGTGCTGCACGCACATGGGCGCTACCAGCACCGGCAAACATTTACCTTCTCCAGCTGGTGAGCGGCACTCAGTTGTGCCACGCAAAGCAGCAGAGGATGAAAACGCAACCCCTAAAGGTCAGCCTAGAGCCCAGCCAGGCGGGAGGGCCAAACAGCAGACCAAAAGCTCGTCCCAGTGAACTGGTTCAGTGTCAGCTGCTCTTCGGAGCTACCGGTTCTATAGAACTGGACTGAACCAGTAGGATCCCACCCCTGCCAAGAAGTGTCTTGGAAGAGAAGTGAAATGTTTTCAGAGAAAAAAACCAAGAAAGTCCAGTTTCCTTTTGGGGGGAAAGGAGCTTTGAACAATGCCTTCACATGTCAGTGAAGGCAAAGCACTCTTGACCTGGATGACTGAGAATCTCCGTGGACAAGAAGTTATATCTACCCCAAAAGAGTGGGAGGCAGACTGTAAGATGATTCCTCTCTCAAGGAGTCCCATCTAGTGAGACCAAGAAGAAGATCCTTCTCAGTGGTGGCTCCTTCCCTTGAACCTCTTGGAGCATCATCCCCATGGAGATAAGATTGGCCTCCACCTTGATATTCTGTCAAAGGCCCTGAAGACATGGTTCTGCCAGCAGGCCTGGGGATCCCAGGGTGATATAACAGATAACAAATATTCAGAGTTGGAAAGGACCTTGTAGGTCATCTAGTCCAACCCCCGCCCAAGCGGGAGACCCTACACCATTTCTGACAGATGGCAGTCCAATCTCTTCTTGAAAGTCTCAAGTGATGGCGCTCCCACAACTTCCGAGGGCAACTTCTGTTCCATTGGTTGATTGTGCTCACTGCCAGAAAGTTCCTCCAGGTTAAATCTCTCCTTGTTCAGTTTCCATCCATTATTCCTTGTCTGGCCTACGGGCACTTTAGAAAATAGCTTGACCCCTTCCTCCCTGTGGCAGCCCCTCAAATATTGGAAGACCTCTCCCCTGGTCCTTCTCTTTTCTAGACTAGCTAAGCCCAGTTCCTGCAACCGTTCATTGTATGTTTTAGTCTCCAGTCCCCTAATCATCCTGGATGCTCTTCTCTGTACTTTTTCTAGAGTCTCAACATCTTTTTTATAATGTGGTGACCAAAACTGGATGCAGTACTCTAGGTGTGATCTTACTAAGGCTTTATAGAGTGGCATTAGTACTTCCCTTGATCTTGATTGTATCCCTCTGTTAATACAATTTAGGATTGCATTAGCTTTGTTGGCGACTGCTGCACACTGCTGGCTCATATTTAGCTGGTTGTCCACTAGGACTCCAAGATCCCTCTCACAGTTTCTGCTATTGAGCCTGGTTTCACCCAGTCTATCTGTGTACTTTTGGTTTTTCTTGTCTAATCAAGTGGAGCCCATCAATTGGTTGGATTGATTGTTGTTACATGGGGGTTTATTGGGTTTTGTATTTGAGGTTTTATTTCTGTAAGCCGCCTGGAGTTACCACAAGTAAATTGGATAGCCATGTCAGTTTTCCTAAAATAAATATGTTTGACGCAGTTTCATGGGCAATATGAAGGGGCAGCCTGTTCATATATTCCCACTCCATCTGCCCAAAGTTGTTATTTTCAGAGGATCAGTGCTCACTGATTATGTTACTTAGTGTGGTAATGAAATGTCTGCAAGCTGCAAATCACCAAGCTCAAGAGAGCACCAAAGACCCCACAGTTTAACCCTAAATTACAAGTATTCCCTTCTATCAAAATGATGTGCTCCAATTCTGTCATTTTGTTCCTCTGTTTCTGTTTAGGACTCACCTATGCACAAGGTACTGTTTTGGGTGGCCATGGCAGTTCTACAGCTGGACGAGGTCAATCTGTATTCTGCAGGCACAGCTTTACTTGAGCAGAACCTTCACACTCTGGACAACCTCCGGGTATTTAATGATAAAGTAAGCAAAACATTTCCCAGAACACACAAGAACAAAAGAAAACCTGAATGTTCTTTTAGTGTTGTTGTAATATGCGTCATCTTTTCACCAGTGGTGAATCAGTTTTGAAAAAAAGTGAGCTTCTTCCTTGTTGAAAAGTAGCTTGAGTTTTAGGGATGTAATGTTGTTTGACGTTCCTTGAGTTTCAAGAAATGAGATTTTTATCTTATCGCGCCCAGGGTTATTTTTAATATCCCAGCAATATTCCAAGCGCCGTCATAAGATTAAGTGATGCATACTAAAATTGACCAGTAGGGCTGCAGACCAAAATAGAACGTGGAAGACAAAAGCAAAGACAAATAGATCTAGGACGCACCCACCTTATGCTGGTTTTTTTCCCCCAGAGGTATTTTTAGACTGCCTCTTTGCTTTTGGTTTCTTGTGAGATATAATTCCAATCACTTTAGCTCACTTTTTATATACTACCAAGGCCAACTTGTCTTGTTCAACAAGCCACAGTTTATCCCAAGGTGCTTTTTCAAGAGGCAACTGTACTTTGTTTTTCTTTGAAGACATTTCCCTTCTCATCCAAGAAGCTTCTCCAGCTCTGACTGGATGGTGGGGAATGGAAGGATTTATACCCCTCACAAACAGCTGGTCATTTGCATTCTTTTAGAGAGTCATTGAGTCCACTTGGAAGTTTATCTGTGTCCTTGGGGTCACCTGAGAAGTGCAAATGGGTGTGGAGCCTTCTTGGAACTGCTGAAAGGACTGTGTTGTAGACTGGAGATAGATGATGTTGTATCTCCCCCCTCTCCCCGGTTGAGAAAGGGCCGTTAATTTTGACATACTTGTCTTCTTGGACCCCTCTTTCAAACCAGTGGTCCTCTCTGTCCAAAATGTAGACTTTGCTGTTTTCAAAACAGTGGCCTTTGTCTCTAAAATGCAGGTGGACTGCTGAATCTTGTCCTGATGGGTTTGTTCTCGTATGTTTTGCCATGCGTTTGTGAAGTGGTTGTTTTGTTTCTCCAATGCGCAGATTTGCACATTGTGTCTGGGGTATCCTTGGGGGAGACAAGCTTCTGCTTTCGTGTATTCTTGGATTGAAAGTGTGCATGCATGTTGTGTTGGTTGAAAATCATCCTGAATGTTTCAGATATTCCTGCAACATATGGAATGTATTCTAAAAGAATACAAATGACCAGCTGTCTGCAAGGAGTATAAAACATTCTATTCCCCATCATCCAGTCAGAGCTGAAGAAGCTTTTTGGATGAGAAGTGAAACATCTTCAAAGAAAAACAAAAAAGTCCAGTTGCCTCTTGAAAAAGCATCTTTGGGACAACCATGATCTGCATGACTGTGAATCTCCATAGACATGAAGCCACAGTTTAAAAATCTGTTGGTCTTATCTGTGAATCCGACCAAAGACTGTTCAAAGTTCTTGTTATTTTTTAAAAATCCTGATTTATAAAATAAAACATAGTGGATATGTTTACACAATCTCTTCCAGGAATCACCAAGAACACTCCCAGCCAATACTGGTTGGGTAATGAAGTGTCTGCAAGGAAACCACCAAGCTTAGAGAGAAGCAAGTACTCCTCAGTTCAATCTTGAGCACTTTGCAGCCCACAGATGCTGCTGAAAAAGGAAACCCTACTTAATTTAATTACTTGCCAGTGTTCTTCGACCATAAACTGTTATTAGCAGTCTTTGTTTATCCAGGATATAGAGTGAATTCCAAAAAGAAGCGAATGTAAGTAGCTTGGGGCTGAACTGTGGAGTCCTTGGTCTTCTCTCTGCTTGGTGTCCGCTGATGATGTCACTTAGCTGAGTAATGAAATATCTGTAAGCAAGCAACCAAGCTCAGAGAATACCAAGATCTCCACAGTTCAGACCTGAGCTACAAATATTTTCTTCTTCCGTGAGTTGACTGTTGAATGTGTCTACATGGAATGAATTGAGTAAGTGTGGGGTCTTTTTCTGACTGAGTGTCTGATGCCTGCACGTTGGCTTCTTCCCGGACAGAGCCCCGAGGAAGTCTTCATGGAGATCAGGAGGCCTCTAGAGTGGCACTGTAAGCAGATGGACCACTTTGTAGGACTCAATTTCAACTCCAATTTCAACTTTGCACTTGTGGGACATCTGCTAAAAGGTAGGAAGGCAATGTGGTGGCTTAATTTTCTTGCTGTAAGGCCCAGTCAACTGTACACAACAATTGTGTCCAGAATTGTAGGAATTCTGTATTCTGTATACTGTGCCTATGAATTGCATCAGAAGAGGATCTTTAGAGATCCTTGAAGGGGAACAGAAGATACTGAAGAGAGAGACGGGAGGGGGAAAGAGAAAAAAAAATATCTAGACTTAATAGGCTGAAAGGAACGGTTGTGATAGAAACTGAGATGCACTTCAGGAAAAGACACAGTTTCCACAGACAAAGCCCTGATTTGAGACTTGGGTCATTGGTGCAAAGGGAAGATCTGTTTATTGTTCAAGAATTGTTTCTGGATGACAAAGGGAAATTGTTGCTATGTGTTAGAGGCCAAAGTGGCTGCCCACTTTTCTTCTCTTTGTGCCTTGCTTCAGAATTCAAGATGGTTGAATAGATTATCCTCTTTCAAAAAAAAATTCTTCCATTCAATTGTGTCCGATTCTCAAAGACTGCTTCAGCAAGCCCTTGCAATGTTCTTGGCAAGGTTTTTCAGAGGTAGTTTGCCATTGCCTCTTTCCTAGGGCCAAGAGGGAGTGACTGGCCAAGATCACCCATCTGGCTTTTGCTTAAAGCAGGACTAGAACTCACAGTCTCCCAAATTCTAGCTTGATGCCTTAACCAAACCTTATATCAAACCTGGCCCTCACTCTTTCCGATTACATATAGAAAAACAAATTAGTGAAAAAATATATATGTAAGTGTAAGTAAAGAAGTAGCAGCACAAGATGCTGGCCATAGTTGAATTTCCCCCTTCCTGAACTGCTAGTTTTCTGCATCCAAGGAGCAATTATGCTTAGAAATCATTCTGGTTTTCCCATCTTGTAATGTTTGTTCTATCGTTACCTTTCTGTGTAAATTAGGCCTAGCATTTTTGAGGGATTGATGTGTCAATACTCCTGACAAGAAACAACACAATCCCTTTCAGTGTCCCTTCATTCAAACTTGGGATTTTAAATTCGAGTCAACAGTGCTTCTTCCTTTTGAGCAAAAGCCTCAAAAATGCATCACATTTTATTTATTTATTAAATTTATATGCCGCCCATCTCTCCATCTTTTTTCCTCCAGAATCCCAGATTCTAAGGCTTGATTACTTGCAGTACATTCTTGCTGTCTTTCTGGAGATTCGCAGTCACTTTGGAAACCACTAAAAAGTAGTGGTTAGTATTACTAACTTTGCACAAACCTTTTAGTTATGAGAATCAGCCATGTGCTGTGCAGATTACTGAAGTCCAGTTTTCACTGGATGGGTAAACCTGTTCAACTCCTACCCCAGTTTCTGAGTGCCCGTTTAAGTTTATGCATCATCTCTTTAAGACATTTCCCCACTTTTCAACTGTCGCTTTTCTTTCTTTGCAGATACCTGATTGTTTAACACACTGTTTATTTCACTAGGTTACCGGCACCCATCTCCGACCATAGTAGCAAGAACAGTAAGGATTCTGCATACACTCCTGGCTCTGGTTAACAAACATAGGAACTGTGATAAGTTTGAGGTGAATACCCAGAGTGTGGCTTACCTTGCAGGTAAAAACCCCAAATCTATGAGGTTTGTATCCATTCCAGTCCAACCCAAACTGGGTAATGCACAGCATGAAAGTGTTCCTCTCAATTCATAACAAAATGTGAGCTGTAACCATAGCCATCTATATATAATAGTAATAACACTGCCTAAAATGAAAAGGCTTGATCTCAATCCTTACTCAGTCTCCCCATTCCCAGCTATAACACTTAGAGACCCTCTTTGAATATTTTCACTATAATTGCCAGGTTCTCAGTCTTGGAAACTTTAAGGTAGGTGGACTTCAACGTCCAGCTGCCCCAGGGCCACGTGATTAAAATTCAGATGCTTGGCAACTGGTTCATATTTATGACAGTTGCAGAGTCCCAGCATCATGTGATCAATTTTTGCCACCTTCTGACCAGTAAAATCAATGAGGAAGCCAGATTCCTTTAACAATCATGTTACTAACGTAACAACTGCAGTGATTCGCTTAACAACTATGCCAAGAAAGGTCGTAAAATGGGGCAAAATTCACTTAACAACTGTCTCATTTAGCAGCATACATTTTGGGCTCAATTGTGGCATTAAGTCAAGAACGAGCCATACCCATTTAAGACCATAAGCCTTTTCTTTAAGACAAGGATCATCATCATCATAGCATCCAGTGATCCTAAAACACTACCTGCAACCCTCCGTTGAAATAATAATATAAAGATGCAGACTGAAATGTTATGAAATATCCAAAATCTTGTGAGAGTTCAGTATTCCTTTGGGGTTCCTTATGTAGGCATTGTCATCACGTGGAAACCCAGATTGCCAAAATCATTTGGAGGGTTTGCCAAGATGTAAAGGGAATAGAAATGTTGGGGGATGGGTATCTTTTGTTGAGGATTGAACAAGAGTCATATCATGCTTTAGAATTTTGGAGACTAGAATTTTGTCACAGTGGAGAACGGGCAGTGCAATGCCACCCCCCCCCCCCCCGCATTTTATTTTTTTTTCTTTAAAATGAAAATGAACAGAACTGACTTTCTCAAGATTCTGAGTTCTTGATGTAATAGTTGATAGTGAGTTTTCACTAAATTCTAAAAGAAGAATGCTATCTCTGCTTTTGGAAGAAGAATGTGAAATACATAAAATACCCTTTGAACTTTTATGTTCTTTCTTTTTGTCTGTTCAGCTCTGCTGACTATGTCTGAGGAAGTTAGGAGCCGGTGCAGCTTAAAGCATAGGAAATCGCTCCTCTTGACAGATATTTCAATGGAAAACGTTCCGATGGAGACATACCCCATACACCACAATGAAGCCAGTTGTAGGTCAGTGAACTTTTGAAAACTTTATTAAGGATACGGACAGTTCTATAATGTTCTATCTTAATAGAATTGTGTGTTAAATTCAGACATCTGTCCCTTGATGCTGTTCTTTGGTGCAAAATGACATTTAAGAAGGGTCCTGGAAAGACACTTCAACCCACGTGTTATTCTCCAGCTGGGAGAGAATTTGTTTTTGCAAATTACTAAAGACAGTTTATAATTTATGGCTAAATGATTTATGGCATAGGGGAAAAAATGGGGAAAGGTGGGAGGCAAAAGACAAAATTACTTGCAACTAAAATTATTCTGGGGAAAAAAAGAGCTGTAAAGGACTTGACCCTGGAAGGCTCAAGCATGGTGTTTCACTAGCTAGATTCATACACTGGCTGCATTCACACAACATGCTAAATGATAGTTAGATTAACCAGGGTAACTGAATTCAGTTTCCTGGGCTGACTTTACGGAATATTTTTAACATAATCTAACAGCTGTTATTTACGAGACATGCTATACTGAAATAAATTATGGATGAGAGCCTGGTTCACAGAGTAATCTGGCTAGTTCTCATAATATGCTAAACCATAAATCATTCTAGTTAATCCACATGTTTCAATAGAAGAGAATATCTATAGTTTGGGGATGAATTGTGGGCTTCTTGGTTGTCTCTGAGCTTGGTTATTTGCTTGCAGGCCTTTTATGACCCAACTAGGGAATATCATCAGTTCTGATGCTGATGCCATCTAGCTAATAATACAGATAATAAAACAGTTGCAAGCAAACACCAAGAACTCTGCGACTGGGGTTGTATAACCCCAGTCGCAGAATCAGAAAGACTGAATATTCAGAATTAGAAAGACTGAATATTCAAATACTGGTAAGATGTGATTGTGGTTTAACGATTCATGTGTATACAGCCATTGTGTGAAGTTGCTGTTTGTTTGAACAAGCCAGAGTCAGACTTGGAAACAGATATAGCTTGCTTTGTATCTTTCCGAATTCCTCTTCCTTGAAGGTTAGAAGCTTGTCCTGAACAAACCATTATGACACATTCACATTAACCCATAGTTTCACTGAATAAATTTTCAACAAACTGCTTTCAAATTACCCTAAAACAAGATATGACATTCATTCATTGTCTAGGCGCCAAATACACTGCCGCATTACTTATGTCTCCTTCTGGGGGAGTCTAGTAGAACGGACACTAAAGAAGCAGCAGTAGAACCTGGGCATCCGCTGAGGTGTAAGAGAGTAAATGACGTGACATGTGTCGTGATACCATCGAGCAAACCATGAAATCCATCATCACTTGTGTGATGGCATCATTAAGTCCACAGCATCAGTATATTAATTCCAGTTATGTCTTGGGAAAATGCTCAGATCCATTGTGGCATTGAATCATCCCAGCTTTGGGCCAAAGCAAGAGACAGCCAAAGCACTAGGCGTAAGGTACTTGCACTCGATTTGGTAAAAGGAAGAAAGCTCACGTTGTCTGACCAATGACTGGCTGTGTGGAGATGGTTTGTTTTTGAAATGACGGCTTTCTTTTTTCTCTTTAGGACACTAAGAGAAAACCAGCCCTGGTCTTCTCCCAAGAACTCTGACAGACATCTCGCTGCTAGTTACCCAACTGTTGGGCAGATCAGTCCCCGCACAAGAAAATCCATGAGCCTGGATATGGGACAGCCTTCTCAAGCCAACACTAAAAAGCTGCTAGGTTGGTTGGATGTGTCAATCTTTTAGCCACAAAGATTTGGGCCAGGCATTAACACAACCAGAACAGACAAAGGCCCATTTGCAAACTTTCTTTAGACATTCTCATCAAATATACCTTTTGTTTTCTGTACAGGTATTCCTCGACTTACAACCACAATTGGGATCGGAATTCCCGTTGTAAGTTGTTGCAGTCGTAAATCGAGTTGGACCCGATTTTACGACAGTTTTTACGGCAGTTGTTAAGTGAATCACCGCAGACATTAAGTGAATCACACAGTCGTTAACAAATCCAGCTTACCCAATGGGCTTTTTTTTTTTTTGCTGAAAATCAACAAAAAAGGTTGCAAATCACAATCACATGACCGTAGGGCGCTACAACCAGTCATAAATGCAAGCCAGTTGCCAAGCGCCCCAATTGCGATCACGTGGTTGTGGGGTGGTGCGACCATCATAAGTGCAAGTTCAGGTCATTAGATCACTTTTTCCAAGGCCATTGTAACATTGAACCGTTGTTAAGTGGACGGGTGTAAGTCGAGGACTACCTGTATTAAATAGAGGAGAGGTGGAACGTTGATAGAATCTAGAATCATGTTATCTCATACTCCCTTCAGTTCCACCAGGCTGCGACTTTGCAGACTATGGATGCTACTGTTGGTGAAAAAACAGGAAATCCTGCTTAATTTCTTGCCAGTATTCTTTGAATCACAAACTATTATTTGCAATCTCTGTTTAATCCAGGTTGCAAAGTGGATTCCAATAGAAGAAAATATGTGTAGTTCAGGATTGAACTGTGGAGTCCTTAGTCCTCTCTGCTTGGTGTTCACTGATGGTGTTACCTAGTTGGGTAATGAAGCATTTGCAAGCATACAACCATGCTCAGGAAACACCAAGGACTGCACAGGAACGGCTTACAGGAACAAGCAAGTTTAACTGGTTTCATTTTCATAGGTACCCGAAAAAGTTTTGACCACTTAGTGTCGGACACAAAAGCCCCTAAAAGACAAGAAATGGAATCCGGGATCACCACACCTCCAAAAATGAGGAGAGTAGCAGAAAATGATTATGAAATGGGTAAGACTTTAAGCAGAATGGCCTAAGAACTAGTTGCTGTGTTTATTTAATTAAAATGCTTTGTACAATTATTTATTTTGGTGTTGCTCACTTGGTATGCTAGAATACAATAAAATCTACCAATACACAATATAGCAAAGTTTCCCAGGGTTGGAATTAGTTTGTGCAATGGACCTCACACCCTGAATCTCCCCGGAATAGCACCTTCTGAAAAGATTCTAAGGGTACATTGGAGAATTTCTTCCTCCCGTTTCATGAGAGAGAACCATGCAGTAGAAATTGTTCATTGGCTTCTGCCCAAAATTGGGACCTTACAGAAGTATAAAATAGATCTCGCTAATTGAAATGTTTCAATGAGAACAAAAACATTTGCATGCTATGAGATGTTATCATTGTTTATTTTATTGTTCTGCTATCTTACTTCAGTTTACCTATTTCTTCCTTTTTGTTGTTGTAAGCTGCCTGGGGAAGCTCCATGGCAAGAGAGATGACAAATAAATTTAACAAATAAATAAAACTGTGTGAAAGACACTCACAGAAAAAAGGCCCTTTTGCCAGTCTAGTTACAGCAATGACTGTTGGTCTGACTACAGAGATGTTCCATGGTTGAGATAAGATTGGAATTGAATCCTCAGTCATCCTCCCAGCTCTTTCATTTGAAACTTCATTGTGTCTCATAGTTATTGAGTGAGCCTTACCTAGAACATAAGAGCTGTTGCTATCCCTGGTTATAACACATGGGTTCCTTCCTGCAGAAACACAAAGGATATCACCCCAACAGCACCCCCATCTCCGTAAAGTATCTGTGTCCGAGTCTAACGTCCTCCTAGATGAGGAAGTCCTCACCGATCCCAAAATCCAAGCTCTGCTGCTGACTGTCCTTGTAAGTATATAATCCAGATCACATGACGATCCTTCCTGGAAATACTGCTTGAAGAATAACAACTGCAATGATAGGTGGTCCCTTTCCTAAGGAGACCTGTTCCAGAAAGTCCTTAATTTGGGTACTTATGGAAAGGAAAGTACACCAATCCTAACCAAGCATTTCTGCACAAAACAGGGTAGGCTGAGGAACAAAACATGTCAGGATGGCATACATATTCAATACAAAAAAGATGCTCTAGAACAGGTGTGTCAAACTCAAGGCCCGAGAGCCAGATCCGGCCCACAGAATGCTTAGATCTGACCTGCAAGGTTGTCCTGGAAACAGTGAAGGACCGCTCTACGGTGCCTCTGCCAGTGAAAATGGAGCTCGGGAGGACTGCATGCGGCCCTCCTGAGGTCTGTTTTCACTGGCAGAGGGTTGCAGGAGGCCGTCACAGCCGAAAACGGAGCTTGGGAGCCTGTTTTTGCTGGCAGAGTGCTTGGGCCACCACAGGCGCCCCCGACATGAGTGATGTCGAGCCTGGCCACGCCCACCTTGGAGGTCAAACAGAACCCAGATAGGTCACTCAATGAAATTGAGTTTGACATCCCTGCTCTAGAAAGTTTGCAGAGAAGAGCAACAGAGATGATAAAGGATCTTGAAAACTAAATCATATGATGAGTGGTTGAGGGAACTAGATACATCTAGCCTATTGAAGAGAAGAATTTGGGGGAGATGGTTGCCTGTCTTCCAAAACTTGAGGGGCTGTCACATAGAAGAGGATTGGTCTATTCTCCAAAGCACCAGAAGGCAGGACAAGAAGTAACGAGTGGAAGCTTGTTAAAGAGAGGTCCAACCTAGAAGTAAGGAGAAATTCCTGATAGTGAAAACAATGAATCAGTGGAATAGCTTCTGGGTGCTCCATCGCCGGAGGTTCTCAAAAATAGACTGGACAACTATTTGTCTGGGATGGTACAGGGTCTCTTGCCTTAAACAGGGTTGGATGAAACAGAAGACCTCCAAATTCCCTTCCAGCATTGTGGTTCTATGTTCTGTGTGTAAGACCAAAGCTCTACCCATTTTGACTATGTGCTGTGTGTAACTAGAGTTGATTTAAGCTTAATAGCTCATTAGAAATTGCAAATTGATGTTTCTCATTCCTCCTCTTCCCTCTCCCACTTTTGTCTTTGGACAGGCAACGTTGGTAAAGTACACAGCAGATGAGTTTGACCAGCGAATCCTGTATGAGTATTTAGCAGAAGCCAGTGTGGTTTTCCCAAAGGTCTTTCCTGTTGTGTAAGTGTTGAGTTTTTTAAAGGAAGTAATTTCCTTGCCAAATCTAATCTGCAAGACGTGATTTTTGAACATCTCCCTGTGTACTCCGGCTCTGGAGGAGTTCGCTTGAAATCATGCAGGCAGAAAGAAAGAATGTGATGAATATATTTGGTGGGACATAAATATTAAAGAAGTCCCTGCAAACTTGCTCAAGTTTAAAATTGTGTGATGTCTGAAGCAGCCTTTAAAACAGCATTTCTCAACTTTAGCCATTTTAAGCCATGGATGGACTTCAGCTCGCAGAATTCCCCAGCCCAACATCTGTGTGATCCTCCCAAAACCCACCCAAATTTGTCATGCAGTTTCCAAGAGTATAGTATAGCTGATGGGATTATAGATTTATAAAAACAAGAGTTGGCTTTCGAGATGAACATGATAATTGTGGGTTTATCTACCTACATCTGCACCCTAGAATTCTGGTAGTGATTATACTTTGATATGGTGCTTAAAAGGTTTTATGGAGTTAACAGATAACAGATAATCAGAGTTGGAAGGGACCTTGTAGGTCATCTAGTCCAACCCCTCGCCCAGGCGGGAGACCCTACACCATTTCTGACAAATGGCAGTCCAATCTCTTCTCGAAAGTCTCAAGTGATGGCACTCCCACAACTTCCGAGGGCAAGCTGTTCCAGTGGTTGATTGTTCTCACTGTCAGAAAGTTTCTCCTTATTTCCAGGTTAAATCTCTCCTTGTTCAGTTTCCATCCATTATTCTTTGTTTGGCCTACAGGCGCTTTAGAAAATAGCTTAACCCCTTCCTCCCTGTGGCAGCTCCTCACATATTGGAAGACTGCTATCATGTCTCCCCTGGTCCTTCTCTTTACTAGACTAGCCAAGCCCAGTTCCTGCAACCGTTCATTGTATGTTTTAGCCTCCAGTCCCCTAATCATCCTGGTTGCTCTTCTCTGTACTTTTTTTAGAGTCTCAACATCTTTTTTATAATGTGGTGAACAAAACTGGATGCAGTACTCTAGGTGTGATCTTACTAAGGCTTTATAGAGTGGTATTAGTACTTCCCCTGATCTTGATTGATTGATCCCTCTGTTAATACAATTTAGGATTGCATTAGCTTTTTTGGCTGCTGCTGCACACTGCTGGCTCATATTTAGCTGGTTGTCCACTAAGACTCCAAGATCCCTCTCACAGTTACTGCTATTGAGCCTGGTTTCACCCAGTTTATATGTGTACTTTTGGTTTTTCTTGCCTAAGTGTAGGACTTTACTTTTCTCTACATTGAATTTCATTTTGTTAGATATGGCCCAGTGTTCTACTCTGTCAAGATCCATCTGGATCTTGAGCCTATCTTTTGGGGTGTTAGCTATTCCTGCCAGCTTAGTATCATCTGCAAATTTGGTAAGTTCCCCTTCTATTCCCTCATCTAAGTCGTTAATGAAGATATTGAAGATTCTAAGGGCCTAAGACGGAACCTTGTGGCACCCCACTGCTTACTTCCCTCCATGTAGACTTAGACCCATTAAGGACTACTCGTCGAGTACAGTTTGCCAGCCAGTTGCAAGTCCATCTAGTGGTGGTGCTATCTATTCCACTTTTTTTTCTAGCTTACTAAGAAGTAGGTTGTAGTCTACTTTGTCGAATGCCTTGCTGAAATCTAAATATACACTGCTCAAAAAAATAAAGGGAACACTTAAACAACACAATGTAACTCCAAGTCAATCCCACTTCTGTGAAATCAAACTGTCCACTTAGGTAGCAACACAGATTGACAATCAATTTCACATGCTGTTGTGCAAATGGAATAGACAACAGGTGGAAAGCATAGGCAGTTAGCAAGACATCCCCAATAAAGGAGTGGTTCTGCCGGTGGTGACCACAGAGCACTTCTCAGTTCCTATGCTTTCTGGCTGATGGTTTAGTCACTTTTGAATGCTGGTGGTGCTTTCGCTCTAGTGGTAGCATGAAATGGAGTCTACAACCCACACAAGTGGCTCAGGTAGTGCAGCTCATCCAGGATGGCACATCAATGCAAGCTGTGGCAAGAAGGTTTGCTGTGTCTGTCAGCATAGTGTCCAGATCATGGAGGCACTACCAGGAGATTGGCCAGTACATCAGGAGACGTGGAGGAGGCCGTAGGAAGGCAACAATCCAGCATCGGGACCACTACCTCCGCCTTTGTGCAAAGAGGGACAGGAGGAGCATTGCCAGAGCCCTGCAAAATGACCCTCAGCAGGCCACAAATGTGCATGTGGCTGCTCAAACTGTCGGAAACAGACTCCATGAGGGTGGTATGAAGGCCCGATGTCCACAGGTGGGGGTTGTGCTTACAGCCCAACACCGTGCAGGACGTTTGGCTTTTGACAGAGAACACCAAGATTGGCAAATTCGCCACTGGCTCCCTGTGCTCTTCATAGATGAAAGCAGGTTCACACTGAGCACATGTGACAGATGTGACAGGGTCTGGAGACGCTGTGGAGAACGTTCTGCTGCCTGCAACATCCTCCAGCATGACCGGTTTGGCAGTGGGTCAGTAATGGTGTGGGGTGGCATTTCTTTAGGGGGTCGCACAGCCCTCTGTGTGCTCGCCAGAGGTAGCCTGACTGCCCTTAGGTACCGAGATGAGATCCTCGGACCCCTTGTGAGACCATATGCTGGTGCGGTTGGCCCTGGGCTCCTCCTAATGCACGACAATAATAGACCTCATGTGGCTGGAGTGTGTCATCAGTTCCTGCAAGATGAAGGCATTGATGCCATGGACTGGCCCACCCGTTCCCCAGACCTGAATCCAATTGAGTACATCTGGGACATCATGTCTTGCTCCATCCACCAACGCCACATTGCACCACAGACTGTCCAGGAGTTGGGGGATGCTTTAGTCCAGGTGTGGGAGGAGATCCCTCAGGAGACCATCCGCCACCTCATCAGGAGCATGCCCAGGCGTTGTAGGGAGGTCATACAGGCACGTGGAGGCCACACACACTATTGAGCCTCATTTTGACTTGTTTTAAGGACATTACATCAGAGTTGCATCAGCCTATAGTGTTTTTTTCCACCTTAATTTTGAGCGTAACTCCAAATCCAGACCTCCATGGGTTGCTAAATTTGATTTCCATTGATAATTTTTGTGTGATTTTGTTGTCAGCACATTCAACTATGTAATGAACAAAGTATTTAATAAGAATATTTCATTCATTCAGATCTAGGATGTCTTATCTTTGTGTTTATTATTGTTTTGAGCAGTGTATTATGTCCACAGTATTTTGCTGGTCTACTAATTTAGTCACTGTGTTGAAGAATGAGTTGTCTAACTAGCACTGGGAGTGAAATTCCCTGGCAAGAATAATTGACTTTTACAGCCATTTTTATGTCAATACTCATTTCTATATTGTAATAAAAACCTTGATGGATAAACACCCTTGAAAACCCAATTATTTGCTGCAGTAAAAACTTGAATGGGATAACCTGATTGAACATTGCATATATTTTGTTGTCTAGGCACAATTTATTGGACTTCAAGATAAATACTCTCTTATCGCAATGTCAGGATCCAAATTTATTGAATCCCATTCATGGGATTGTTCAGAGTGTGGTTTACCACGAAGAATCTCCACCACAATACCAGACGTCTTACCTGCAGAGTATGTATCTTCCAACTCTTTCAAGAACTGGGTGGGAAAAGGTCTGCTCAGATATAGAGTATATAATTTTAGGTATTCCCCACAATATTTATCTTTTATAGCATATAAGCCAGTGTTTCTCAACCTTGGTCACTTTGTGGACTTCAATTCCCAGAATTCTCCAGCCAGCAAGACTGGACAGGGAATTCTGGGAGATGAAGTCCACACATCTTGAAGTGGCCAAAGTGGAGAAACATTGCGATTTAGAGGCCTAGAGTCATTCAAAACAGTGAGTTGGGTGGCATATAAATGTAATAAATATAATGTAGAAATATAAAAAATGTAAACGTTTTAAAATGTATATTAAAAAAACCCTCTTTCGTAGATACCTTAGGCTACTTTCAAAAGAAAACTGTATAGTAAAGTGAATTGTAGTAAAACACCAAAAGGCTGTTTGAGGGATGGATTTTTTTCATTCTCCATTGAAACAGCACAGCATTTTTTAACATTTCCCTCCCCTGCTCCCTTCTACCTCTTGAGAGGGGGAAGGAAGTTTGATACTGTAGTGGAACACCTGATCCTGGGAGCTTGTGGCTCCCTTTCACTGAAGGGCAGACAGTCACCTCTTGAAAAGGCTCCACTGAGAATTGGAATCCATGGTCTGTATGGTCCATTTCAGTTCTGTGTGCCTTGGCTTAAAGGAATACTGTGCCAAACCTTTTCTGACTTCTCTTGCAAAAAGACACACACAATTTCATCTGAAAGGTTTGCAGAGGGATGCAAAGGGATTGCCTTATCTTAAAAGTAATGGCCAAGAGTACTAATTCTATTTTATTTTACATTTAAAAATAATGCCCTTTGGGTACTTACTCCCTCATGATGACTGTCCTTCATGCAGATTTCTTATAAGAAAGGTTGGTAAAAACTACAAAAAGGTAACGAAAGTTTTTAAACAGTGGTGGGATTCAGCCGGTGTAACAACCAGTTCGGTGAGCGAGAGAGTGTGCGTTGCATTTGAAAATAGCAAGAAAACTTACCTTTTACTGCAGCCCCGGTGAGTAAAAAAAGCTGAGGCACGACAACTGGTGCTACCATGCCTATCAGCTGGGCTTTAAACAAAGGAAATATAGGACAGGATAGCACAGGGGCTGGTGGGCAGGGCCAAATAATTACCGGAACTACCGGTTCACCCAAACCACTCCGTACCGGCTGAATCCCACTTCTGGTTTTAAAGCAACACAAATGCCACTCACTCACGAAGTAAAGCCATCTCCCTTCAGTGCGGATTTCAGAAGAATTTCTCTCCCATACACACACAGTCTCAATTCAATTCTCTTTGTTTTAAGTTGTTCCTTCCCTCCCATTTTAATGGGTGAACTGCAAGAAAGCAAATTCGGGGCTAATTTAAATATAGGGTTTATGCCTTAACAATTGCATTTGTAACAATTGTATGGATCCTGCCTTAGGCATTAGACTACTGTATGTATTTTATTGCACATGTATTGGAAATGTCTGCTTTTGAGACATTGTTGGAGTATTAGTTATGATTTTGATGATAAATGTATAGATAGCTGAACCATTAAAGAATGTTAAACAAGCATAACACTTCAGAGAGTGAAAAAATACGTTACATTTTGCACACCCAGCCTGGTTTAGAAGTGTGAATTAAATCTCCCTTGTCTGCTATACATTCAGTTATCTGTACCTGTTCACTAACCTCCAGGTATAGAATGGAGTTCTAGGACCTGAGGTGATAGGACAATTGTGCTTATGGCCGTAAGGGTGAGTCCCTTGATGGGTTCCTGGGGTGGTACAGACATCAAAGTGATTAATCAGGATGTGTAGACCAGGCTTCAACCGAAGAATAAGAAGGAATGATTGCGGGTTATGTGGCAGTTAGCTTTCTCTCATCGTTTTCCTAATAAAACTACTCTCTCTTTGTTGCTGATGATGATGATTTGCAGGTTTTGGATTTAACGGTTTGTGGAGGTTTGCAGGACCATTTTCTAAGGTGAGTGATTTGGGCTTCTTTCCGATCGAATGCCACATGGTGGCCTTGGTAAAATCAGGGTGGATGTGAGAGTGGGTCCCACTGGAGGGTTAATAAGGAAATTATCAGTAGTCACTAGAAACAGCCTAATCTCAGAGCAGTTCTGGGGCTGGAGGGGGAGGGACAAACAAACCATCTTGGAATGGATGTTTCTGATTTGGATGTTTTCAGTCTTGAAATATTTTACAGTCATATATATCATACGATATCCTATTCGTATATTGTGAATTTTGATCATATGACCCTGTGGATGCTGCAATAATTGTAAGTGCAAGGACTGGTCATAAGCCACTTTGATCAGTGCTGCTGTAACTTCAAATAGTCACTAAATGAATGTTTGTAAGTCGAAGATTACTTGTAGGGCAGAGGGTTGGACTTAGATGATTCTCGTGGTCCCTTCCAACTTGACAATTCTGGGATTCTATGGAGCTAGGTTTCTCTCTCCTAGAATTCTGTTGAATTTACACAAACTGGAAGCCTCTGTACTTCCAACTCTCTAAAGTCAGTACTAGAACTATGCTGATAAGAAGACAGTGGAACTTCCGGTGATGACCTTAATCCGTTCTGAAAATTTGGTCATCACCTGATTTACTCGGCACCGGAAGCACATGCGCGTAAAAATAAAAATGGCGCAGAAGGGGAAATCGCCACCCTTTGGTCGGGAATGGAAGAGTTCACAACCAGAGGTTCTACTGTAGCTGTACCCTTCCTCCCTGAATGGTTCCAGTGTAATAAGTGCTTTTAGACTAAGAACCTCCAAATACTTCAGGTCAAGAAACTAAGCCAAGATGGATGCCTCAAGCATTGCTAGCCATTAAGCCAAGATGGATGCCTCAAGCACTGTTAGCCATTAAGCCAAGATGGACGCCTCAAGCACTGTTAGCCAGTCTGTTCTGCATCTAGGTCCAGTCCATTGTGCCACCCTTTGCCTTGTGGGTTGCTAGTTCTCATTCACTCTTCATAACGCCAGGCCTCTCTTTCCTTTTCTTGGCCTCCTGTTATGCCAGATGATAAATATCTAGTCACAGCTGAAACCAGGCACCCCTTTCTCCAGAGATTCTCCTTCACAGCCATCTAGAATTACTGAGCCATGAACCAAATGAGCAATTTTGCATTAGCTTAACATGCTACATTAGAAATTGTTTTGTTACCAAGGTGACATTGGATGGACACAACCTCAAATTGACTTTGAATCGGTAGAAACAAAGAAACATGATTTCAGAAGTGGGTGGTGTTAGGTAATCATATTCCTATTTTTTTTAAAAAAATCTTATTTTAACTGAGGGGTTCTGTCCATTATGACCCATGCACCTGAAGTCCAACTATATATTTCTTAACGCATGAAGCTTTGGTAGCCTAAAAAAATTGACACAGGTAGTCAAAAGTACCATCAGAAATATATAAAAAGTAGTTGAATGTTGGGCTTTTTTCCTATTTTGTGGAAAAATCAAATAGTTAAGAACTTAACCACATGCAATCCAGTTGACTTTTTTCAGAGAATTTGATTCAAAGCACATAGTTTCTGACTGACCGTTTGCTTTATTAGCTGGAGGATATTTGGCCTTAGATCTGGAGTACTTTGACACTGGCAAAGGGTAAAAGGAGTTGTCCCAGTTGGAGAAGACCTCTTGAGGAGTGTGGGATCCATTGATTAAGATAAGGGGGGCAATGATTCTGATAAAATATTTGTAGCTCAGCATTTAACTTATGGGGTCCTTGGTGATCTCTGAACTTGGTTGTTTTCTTGTACAAGTTTCATTATTCAACTAGATAACATCATCAGTTCTAGAAGGGAGTAGGGCTTATATTCTAGTCTAATGGCCTGCTCTGTTAGTTGGTGGAAGTTTTCTTGATGGTTCCTTGAACCAACAGCCTAACCAAGCGCCACCAAGACAGTTCCCACCCATATCAACAGGGCAGGCTACTTATAAATAAACAGAGAATAGAAGCCACCCTCTTCCAGCACTGATTATGTTACCTAGTTGGGTAACATAACATCTGCAAGAAAACAACCAAGCTCAGAGACCCACCAAGGACACCACCAAAAACAAACAAAGAAAGAAAGAAATAGTAAGTTCAGTTCTTTTTTTCATTTTCTTCTAGCAAAGTCAAATACCCGACTACGCTGAGCTTATTGTGAAGTTCCTTGACGCCTTGATCGATACCTACTTGCCTGGAATGGACGAGGAAATCAGCGAAGAGTCCCTTCTAACCCCAACATCTCCTTACCCTCCTGCAGTGCAGAGCCAGCTCAGCATCACTGCAAACCTGAACCTTTCAAATTCCATGACCTCACTTGCAACTTCCCAGCATTCCCCAGGTCAGTTTGCCATCCATTTCTCAATCTGAGGTCATCCCATTCCAATTCTGGTTTTGGCCATCTTCCTTGGGTGGTGGAGACCCTTTCTCTCCTCACCCATTGCACCAGAAGTCCCCATCTTCAGTAGGTTTGCCACTTCTACTTACTTAAGGAGACCCATGAGCTTGGATTGAAGAATCAACTAATATGTTTAGCTTCCGGTGAATACATAGCCAGAACATCAGAATTGATGGTGTTCCCATGCTATTCTTCATCTTTCCCTTATTTATATTTTTAAAGGTTGTGTGATAATTGGAGGAAGGATCAGCTGGTTGCACACAGGTACAGAGTCACAGATTATTTTTACCTTCAAAAATATTCTTGCCTAAAACAAATTGTGGCTTGTTCCTAACTCACACCCATTACCATACAAAATAAGCCTTGCAATGCCATTATCCAGGTGAATGATGCAGTTGTGGAGCCCTTGGTGCTCTCTGAGCTTGGTAGTTTTCTTGCAGACATTTCATTACCCAACCAGATAATATCTTCAATGCTAGAAAGGAATAGGGTTTGTTCTCTATTTATACAGTGTACTAGTGGCTTGCCCTGTCAGTGTTGATAGGGGTGTTGTTTTTTTCTTGGAAGTTCCTTAATTAGGCCCTAGCAATCTGTAGAGATTCTCAATCATCCAGGTCATGGTTGTCCCAAAGGTGCTTTTTCAGAAGGCAACTGGACTTCGTTGTTTTTTTTCTTTCAAAGATGTTTTGCTTCTCATCCAAGAAGCTACTTCAGCTCCCTACTATTCTGTTAGTCTCCGAAAGAAAAAACAACAAAGTCCACTTGCCTCCTGAAAAAGCATCTTTGGATAGGCCCTAGCAGCCAACTAAAGAGTGATAATCACCTTCCAGGTCCCTTTCTTCCCTCAAATATCACCCTTTAGTGGTAACTAGGAAGCATGTCTTTTCTGTAGCGGCTCCTGTGCTGTGAAACATCCTTTCCTGGCATCCAACAAACTTGCAATCTTTTTGCTTTCTAGAAAGCTGGCAAGAGCCGGCTTTTCTCCCAGGTAGAGGGATAGCAAGGGATTGTGTAGTTCAATACACGTTGCTGATTTGGAACTAGGCTTTTCTTGTTTGTTTGACAGATCGTTTCACTGTTGCATTTTTATTATTGCTGTTCCCTCATGTTATATGAACACGGCCTATACCAAAATAGTTTTGTACTTCCTATTTCTACTTTAATGTGAGAAGTGGCTGCATGGTTTCTCTCCTGTTCCATGTAAAATACAGTGCTCCGTTACTTGAAAGCATTCATGGAATTACTGTAAAGAAAAATGTAGAAATTGGTTTTCAACCCTCCCTGACTTACCTTTTGTTTCTATGTATTAATTCCTATTTCATTCCTCTTCATGGGCAAGGGCAGTGAGTTTTCTATGAAAAGCAAAAACCGAGAAAGCAGGAATTTGCCAGATCTTTGACCGACAGAGTGAATATCTGAAGCAATAATGGCCAGAAGGCAGCTTCAGAGCCACAGCTGAGAGAAGCAGGACCAAGTATTTGTTCTTCTGCACTTCCTGAAGTTACATCGGAAGCAGAGGGAGAACTTTTACTCAAAGACACTGGGCAAATCTCTTGATTTGTCCAAGCAGGATTGCTTCAGTCAGAGAAGCAATTATATGAACAGTTTTGAGAGTTCTGGAAGTTTTTGGAGAATGTATAATAATTTTGGCAGTGGTTTGCTCTCCAAGCTTGTTTCAATTTCGTTTCTGAACGTTTCATTATCAGACTAGGTGACACCGTCCTCAGGATTTTCTTGTCCCGTTCTCCTTTGCTTATAAAATGTCTAGTGTGGCAAGTTGGGTCAGTTGGTCTTGTGATTGTTTGTTCATTTGGAGCTATATTTAAATTCTGAACAGCTGATTGGTTCTCCTGTTGCTGCTCAGAATTTAAATATAGCTCCAAACAACCAACCAATCACACGACCAACTGACCAAACTGGCACAGAATACATTTTATAAGCAAAGGAGAATAGGACAAGAAAATCTTGCTAATGATGTTACCTAGTCTGGTAATGAAATGTTCAGAAACTCAATCGAAACAAGCTTGGAGAACAAACCACTGCCACAATCTAAAGCCCGAGCTATCAATATTTTCTATTCTTTCAGTGTATAATAGTGTCTACTTCTTCTAGTTGAGGTTTCTTTGGAAGTTCCAATAAGACACTCTGCTTTAGGCTAGAAGAGGGTTTCTTCACCTTGGCAACTCTAAGATGCGTGGACTTCAACTCCCAGAGTTCCTAAACCACCATGCTAACTGGAGAATTCCAGGAGTTGAAGTCCCCACATCTTAAAAGTTGTCAAGATTGAGAGAGAGTGAGCTAGAGACATCAAAAAGGAGTTTTTTTAAAAAAAACAACCGGTCTCCTTTTGACATACGGTATGATAGCTGCATCAAGGAGTGGTTTTGCTTGCCTCTTCCTTCTGCACTGAAACAGGCCCTGCGACCAGAGTCAGGCGTTCTCCAATGTTCTCTTGAAAAGTGCACCATTCAAACAAAAACGTGTTGAGGGCTCTCTGTATACCCGATTTGTGTAGAAGTAAGAATGATTGCATAAGTTGGGCAGGGGAAGGACACCGGGAGGGACAAAGAGACGTACATATTATCCCTGTCCAGTAAATGTTTTGTATCTTTCCCCCAATCCTGACGGTTGATCGCTCATCTTACCTCCCTCATCTTGTGTGTGTGAAGCATCTCTGCCTTGCTCTAAATCAGCCGTTTTCATCCAACCTTCCTCGCCCAGGTACACGTTCTCTCTCTTTCTCCCCCTCCATCTTTTCCATTCTACTTGCATGAGCTGTTGCTTTTAGAAAACGAAAGGATTTATTTATTTATTTATTTATTTATTTATTTATTTATTTATAGGTGGGTAACATGGCTAGTCAAAAGATGTCTACCCACTTGAAGGGCTTGTCACAGGGAAGAGGGTGTCCACTTATTCTCCATAGGACTTGAGGGCAGGACACGAGGCAATGAGTGGAAGCTCATCAGAGGGAGATTCAACCTGGAAATAGGAGGAAATTTCTGTCCGTGAGAACAGTCGATCAGTGGAACAGCTTGTCTCCGAGAGTTGTAGATGCTCTGTTGATTTCAAAAAAAGATTGGACAAACATTTGTGTGGAATGATATAAGGACTCCTGCCTTGGGCAAGAGATTGGACTAGAAGACCTCCAAGGTCCCTTCTGGCCCTACTATTCTATGATTCCTTTGGCAAAGGGGAGTGCAGGTCTCCAGTGCCTGAGCCCAATGCTTCTGCTCCCATGCTGGAGAGACAGGACACGTTCAGGAGCAACAGGATGGATTGGGCCTTGAGTGGATGTCCTACTCCATCTCTGATGGAGATCTGGTTCTATTCCCTTCCCAAGCCTCGCAGGCATTTCCCCATCCTTTCTTCCAAAGTTGCCAGTTATGATGGAATGTAGTAGATTGGATTCCCAGGAGGAAGGGGGCATGCATGCCAGGGCAATAAGAGGCAGCCCAGTCCTGATACATGATATGAGAGAAAGAGGGTGAGAGTATACGGCAGATATGCTTCAGGTTGGCAAGATTGATGTAAGGCCCCAGAACCAAGAAAGACATGTAGTGAATTATTTATTGCTCCACACCTATAAATAGAAGCTTGCCAGCCTAAGCACTCTACTGTCTGCATCTACCATATAAAACCCTGGGAACTATTACGGAGGAACTGCTTTCACCCTCTTTCTCTCACACAACACATCTGCATTGACCTGCCTCTTATTCCTGTGGAATGCATCACATCAATAAACTCCAGACTAAATGTGGTAGAACAAATAAATTATTAAATACACAAGGAGAGAACACAAATTTAGGTGATTTAATGTTACTTAAGTTTACATCAAATTTGGTTTCTGCCTTGCCCTGTTCACTTTTGGGAGTGTTTCCCTAGAGTGCTACATGCAACCTTCATCCCGAAAATGTTGGTGCGCCTCCGAGCTATAGATTCGGAGTTCATTTTGGACTGGCGTCTTGGATTTTAACAAATAGTGTCGTTGTAACAGGAAGAGCAGAGTCTTAGAAAAAAAATGAAATCCCGTCCCATTGATGAGGTTTGAAAAAGACAAGGATCCCAGTTGAGTCCTGCAGCCTGTTTCCCAGAAGGGCCCAACTGAAGGAAATTGTTTCTGGCCATTGTTCTGTAGGAGGCAGACTTACATACTGTCCCCTGATGCTTTACAGCATTCTCTAAATGGTTTATAGCATCAGCATCTTGCTCCTAACAATCTGGGTTCTCATGTTACCAACCTCAGAAGGCTGGAGGCTGAGTCAACCTTGAGCCCCGTCAGGATCGAACTCCAGGCTGTGGGCAGAGTCAGCCTGCAGTACTACATTTTAACCACTGCGCCACCAGGGCTCCTGAATAAGAAGTTCCCTTTGGTTCTTTGGGTTACCAATTTTAATAGATGTATTCTTCACTGTTTTTCTTTGCTAGCGTTGCTCACCTTATTCTGTGATCTTCCTCTACAAAATTTTGACGTTTAAGAGGGTGACATTGGTTGGATCTCTCTCACAATGGAGTCCCAGGTCCAAACCATTATTGGATGTAGGGCATTCCAAGGATGTTGGAGTGCAACTGCCATAATTCTGAGCCAGCATGGCCCTGGGGATTATGAGAGATGTGGTTTAGCACATAATTAGCTGCCACATCACTTTCATAGGCCACAAATATGTCTTGCCTACTTGTAACTGTTCAAATCATTGCAATCTCTCAGGAGAATGGTAGCGGAGAGGAAGCTTTTCACTCAGGGACATACATGTCTGTTCTGAGAGGTTTTCACAGAACCTTGATTTAATCAGAATTGCTTTGTTTCTTAATTCTACTATTGTCCCCCATTTCTTTGAGATTTTCAGATTATCCATCAAAAAAACTTTGCCTCTGGGCAGACTTATTTACATGCAGAATAAGTGGCAACTGACACAATTGCTGCCAAGAATATAATGGGTATATATTCCTGCTGCAGGACATAATAATTCAAGTGATGCCTGGGGAAGCTGGCCAAAGCGTTATAGAAACTGTCCATCCTTACACAATTCTGCAAGGACTCCGTGCTACACCCTGACAACCCAATCTCTCCTTTATTCCCTTGTTTGTCCATATTCGAGGCAGGATATTAGTTTCGAATTGATGTTACAGAGTCAACAGTCAATTTTGCTTTCATTTCTAGGAAAGACTGATCCTGTTCTGCTAATTCTATTTAGAGTCCTTCATGCATGTTAATCTTTCTACTTTGGAGATTGGAGCGAGGCAAGGTATAAGTGTAGTGAATTCTGGAGTCTGCCATTGTTGAATCACAACGCCAGCTCCAGTTTTGTCTTTATAAGAAGGTTGGGTAATAGGAAATGTTAGTATGAACCATGTTGCTTCAGCCAAAAGACCAAAGATAAGTCTCACCTGTAATCAGTGTACCTCTCCCCCACCCTGCATTTCTCAAATCACCTTCAAGAACCGCTTTCCAAACTGATAACTCTATACCCAAGTTCGAAAATGATTATACCAGGTAATTCCAACTCTAGGATGGGACTGAATGATAAATTTCTTCTTAAGCATTGGCAAACCTCATTCTTCCTCCCTGCTTCCTCCCCATTTTTGTGAAGACAATGTACAGGTAATCCTTGACTTACAACCATTTGTTTAGGAACTGTTCAAAGTTACAACAGCACTGAAAAAGGTGAACTATGACCAGTTTTCACACAACAGCATCCCCAGGGTCATGGAATCAAAATTCAGACACTTGGCAACTGGCTCATATTTATGACGGTTGCAATGTCCTGGGTCATGTGTGATCACCTTTTGCAATCTTCTGACAAGCAGCCAATGGGGAAGCCAGATTCACTTAACAACCATGGCAAGAAAGATCGTAAAATGGGGCAAAATTCACTTAACAACTGTCTTGCATAGCAACAAAAATTTTGGTATCATTCGTGGTTGTAAGTCAAGGGCTACCTATATTAGCCCTGGAGATTGAAGATCTGACCGTGAAATTCAGGTTACAGATAAATACTAAATGGATCTCCCCTAGGAGATTCTTATCAGTTATATTAGGGACATTCCACTATCTGCTCCAAATCTTCTTAAATAGACTATGTTTGGATGGTCTCCAGTTTTAAAGTGACAGGAGAAAAAAGGAAATAATTCTGGGTTCTTTCCCATATCTGCATATACTGGTATGTTCTATCTTAATCCCTTAGTTGAGTTTTAAAAAAATTCTGCTCCCAAAATCTGTCAGTACTTTATAGCAATAGCACTTAGACTTATATACTGCTTTAACAGTGCTTTACAGCAGTGGCCCCCAACCTTTTTTGGGCCGCGGCCCGGTACCGGCATCACAAAATCATCCGCGGCCCGGTACCGGCATCAGCACGCATGGCAAGGCGAGCCGAGTGACCGGCCAGCCAGCCGTCCCCCGCTTCTCCCTGCCACCTTCAACTCCTCCTTTGTACCTGTGTCGATGGGCTTCGTGATGGCTTCGGGACGGTCGCTCGGCTCGCCTTGCCATGCGTGCTGAAAGAATCCTCGCACCTTAGTTTTGTTCAAAGCCGCCCCCCCCCCCCTCGATGAAACTAAGGCGCGAGGATTCTTTCAGCACCCAAACGCCGCTTTCTACCCAGAAAAGCTCACCGGAAGCACTTTTTCATCAAAACAAGATGGCGGCGCCCAGCAAACCGGCAGCCCGGTAGAAATTGTTCCACGGACCGGTACCGGTCTGGGGACCGGTGGTTGGGGACCCCTGCTTTACAGCCCTCTCCAAACGGTTTACAGAGTCAGCATATTGCCCCCAACAATCTGGGTCCTCATTTTACTCACCTCAGAAGGATGAGTCAACCTATTTGAATTGCCAAATTGCAGGCAGCCGGCAGTCCGGAGAAGTAGCCTGCAGTACTGCACTCTTAACTACTGTGCCTCTGAGACTCTTTTTCCTCCTTTAGAGAATACTTAAGTCCTTTGAACTGTTTCTGTAATTTCCTCCCCATGAATGCTAGCTTACATCTTCTTGTCCTTCTCTTTCCATTATCCTTCTTTTTCTCATTTTTCTGACCCATTTCTCTCTTACCTTCTAAACCATTTTTTTACCCCCGCCCCACCCATTAATTTGATTTTAAACAGGGATGGCCCACCTTGGCGACTTTGGCTTTGTTGGAAAATTCTGGGAGTAGAAGTCTACAAATCGTAAAAGTTCCAAGGTGGGATGTCCCTGATTTAAAATCTCAAAAATACTCTCTCTTCAGAAAGAGATGCAAGTTACATATCCTTTGGGTAAGATTCAGTTCACACCCTTATACTGAAAAAGTGGGGGGGACAGAGAAATGGGGGTTAGCTGGAGCACAGGCAAACTGCAGTCCAGAAATGGAGGGATCACGACCTCTTGTTGAATCACAAAATGGGCTGGAACTAGATGGTCCCTCTTTTTAAAAAATTTGAAATACTTTTTGGTGGAAAGGTTTTGAGTCAGCATTTTCAGTCCTTAGCCCACACCCCACAAACCTTCAGGCCTGCATTTTGTATTCTGTGACTTCCCTTGTCATAAATGTTGACCTGACAGATATCTATGGAGATGCTCAATCATCCAAGCCATGGTAGTCCCAAAAGGTGCTTTTCCAAACAGCAACTGAACTTGGTGTTTTCTTTTTTCCTTGTCAGGGTTTCTGAAGTTTTGGCAGGGTACTCATTTCACCTTTAAATTCCTCCCTAAATTGGATAGATATTCCCCTGTTTTAGGGGGAGAAGAGCTTTGGAAAGGTGGAAATAGGTACAAACCTATCCAAAACCCTGGTCTTTAAATCTCTGAAAAATAGGGTACCTCTCTCCATCTTAGGGGATATGGTGGACTTTAAGTTCAAGAAGCACCCAGGTTGCCTCTTTGCTCCTCTCACAGTGCCTGATCTTGTGGCTTGCACAAGGATTATTCGTCTATATATATATAAATGTAAAAGTTATGCAGTCCATTTCCCTGGAACTGAGTGGTACCGGGAGCCTGAGCTACCTGTTTGGTAGCCAGCAGGATGGTGAGGTTGGATCCCAAGCATGTGGGGAGTGCTTAGGTCTCTGCTGCCTTCCAATTCAATTCAGCTCCATATGCACTTCTA